TATATCGGCCAAGACAGCCCACTCTCACGATCAAGTCGAACCAGTCGGTCGCCCGCCGAAGGCCCCTACCCCAACATGTCCCTGGAGGGAGGGCGTCACCATCAGTCACAGCGCCGGCTTCGTATCTCTGCCATCTTTGCCTCCCCATCCAGCGACTTGCATGCGGTGTAACGCGTCTTGGGAGCTCCGACAGCAGAAGACCGGTTTTATGAAGAAGACGGTCCTTCCGGTGAGCGGAGTGTGAGGTCACTATCAGTGTTGACAGGTTCGTTCAGGTTTTGCGATGTACCCGAGATAAGACGCGAAATCACGACCTCTGGCTTTACGACGGCAACTGGGTGTCTCGGTGGCAGAAACGACGAAAATTGGGAGGAAAGGAGAAAACGCTGATCGAAGAAGCGGTGAGTTTTCGTCACGTTTTATTAGTTTCTGGTTGATTTTCACTGTAGATTGCCAATGGGGAAATACCCCCGATTTTACCAAAGCGTCCAAAACCAGTTTCGGCGATTCCTACAGGCCCAGATGGGAAGGAGCGACTCGACGGCCTCCTCACGATCAAACCGAAACAGAAATTCGCCAACAGATTGTGTCTGTTGCTCGCTGATAAGACGACTCGATGCAAAGAGTGAGAGCTGCTCTTTTTTGCGTTTTTTATCGGAATTTTTTCTCTAGTTGCGACTTTTGGCTTCGCGGCGTGAAAGTGAAGCCGGACCACGACGGCAACGTCATCCATCAGGGGAAGACGTGGTGCCACTTGCACGACAAAAGTCGGAAAATTGGAGATACCCTTCGGAAATACCGTTGTTCTGGTAAGGGGATTTTTCCACTCTGTTTTGGTCAATATTCCCTTTAGAAACCGGAGAGCGTTTGGTCGTTTGCCGCAACCCGTGTGGAACGTGCTTCTGGGCTGGCTTGTCGTCCGCGCCGGAAAAATACAGCACTGTTCCTCAACACGGTAGCAGACCTAGTCGCTCGAGTCGAGCGTCAGTTGACGTAGAGGGAGGGGAAGTGTCCATGGAGCAGGGTGTGATCGACCGGCACTTCGCCCCGTTCACGATGTATGAGGAGAGCCCTGCATTGCGAGGGGTGAAGTCCTCGAGAAGTGCTCATGATGGAGACGCAGCTGAGGGTAGCGCGGCATCACTTGGGTGTATTCAATGTGTGGTTTGTTAGACTCCCCTGGAGGACTGAAGTTGCAACGCACGACCGAAGCAGGGTTCTCCTTTGACCGTTTGTATAAGGAGCAGCTGCCGTCGGAACCCTCACTGAAGTGGGAGCCTCATCAGGTGAGCTGGGCGGATCTGCTGTGTCTACTATGGTAGTGGACCTACTAGGGCATAGTGTGGAGAGAGTGGACCTACTTCGTATCTTTAGACTTCGAACCTACTTGGTATATTTTGAGTTTGAACCTACTTCTTGTCTATTGACAGTTTGAACCTACTTTGTATCTTTAGAGTTTGAACCTACTTTGTATCTTGACAATTTGAACCTACTTTGTATCTTGAGAGCTTGAACCTACTTTGTATCTTTAGAGTTTGAACTCAATTAGTATCTTTAAAGTTCGAACCTAAGATACGTTCGGATGGATTTCACAACTGCCATGTATTTCCATTTGCACTCTGACTACCCTCGTTCAGAGTCACGGCCCCCCTAGCATGCTAAATCACTACGGATCTCTCGTCCCCGACGGCCTGGCCGCTGTTGGCGATCAAAGCCCTCGCAGCAGCATATTTAGAGTAGGGGTCAGACCTATCTCTCTACATTGTGTATCACATTCATCAGATTGATACCCCGGGCGGGTGTAGCACGCCTTCTTTCCCGAGCGACGCGTCACCGAAGCCCTCGTCTAACACGACCAAAGACCCCGTTAGTGAGTCGAAGACTCCCACATGTTTCTTTGACTTTTCTCTACTCAGGAGCGTTCGAGGATATCATCCTAAACGGCAGCTCTTGAGAGTTCTATAATTCCTATAAAGGATTGCACAGTGCATGAGAGGGCCCAGCCCCTGATGTCTGCAGTTGTGATGCTGAACGTTGTCCTGTTGAGTTCGGAACGTCCCTGGCATAAAGTGGTTTCTACTGAGGTTTCCACGCTATAGGATTGCATGATATCGGCACAGAGGGAAGTTATTATATATACGGCAATACAACACAACTAATCTTTGAAACTTTTTGGACGATATTCACTGCTATATGATAAACTCGGGAACAACTCGGAACATAATCATCAACTCTTTCTCCAACGTCAATTAGTAGTACAGCGGTTGGGATGTTTGTCAGGGTTAGCTGTTGGCAACTGCCTGTTGCTGTAAAACAGCTCCCTGACGCTCTCGACTAGTCGTATATTTGGTGCCTTGTGAATGATTCACTGCCAAGTCTTGAGTGGTCTTAACTCGTACGCCACCGTGACGTACTACCGTAGTACTACTACGACTAGTCGAGGGCCCCTGTACCACTAAAGAAAAAAAATTGTTCATACCGTAGTTGGAACAGAATCGCTGCACATAACTCCATGGACTCTTTTTATTCGACAATCTGTTACCAACGTGAAATTCTTTATGCCCGGAGCGCGAGTTTGTCGCGCTTCCGAAGCACGTAACTACCCAAACTGGTGCCACATATGCAAAGGTAAATGCGGCGAGCGCCATTTCCCCCATTGCGTTGTGCAGTTGTTGAACTTGCTCCCTTACAGAACCTTCACGTACTCTCATTATACTCATTGCGAAAAGAGTTATGCATATCGTCCTATTACTGGTCATATGATATGTGCCTGCAGCAACCTTCAAGCAGAGGCAAACACATGTTAACACAACGTAGGAAATTCATTATGAACGGTTACCTGGTAGGCTCCCTTGGTCTTGTCAGGATTAGATAACTCAATAAGAGTTATCAACAAGTGGTTCTTAACTGAAGGTCAATACAGTATCACGAAGTATACGGTAGGCTAGCAAGGGAGACGAGGATCACAAGAATCTGAGATTAACATTTCCTCACAGAGAGGTTAGAGTTGCCAGCGAGTTTACTACTATTATACGAGGGACGTATCATCAGGGTAAACTCGCACTTCGTGAGAACTACTCCCGACTTTTCGATGGAAATTTTGCACCATCTGGATAGTAAGAGTATATATGTTAAATAGCAGGTGTGTAAAAGAAATTCCCGATAGATGAGGTTATGTCATATATTCGCTCTCCTCAGGGTAGTACCTCATGACGCTAGCTATGTTACAAGTGTCAGAATGTGCGTTTGCTTCCCACGGATAAGCTCAGAACTTTCACTCATATTGGTTTACTCTCCACTCAGGACGAAAATCAGGCGGTTTTTTCTCTACTTCCTGCCACACTGATTAATCAAGATACATCATGATCCTGTCGAGGCAATTATCCAACTTTGTAGATTATGAAAAACTGTTAATTGATTATCCTATCATGAGAGACTTTCTCATAAATTTCTTGCTTATGACTGTGCAAACGCAACCTCAAGTTAAAATCAAGTAATGAAGTTTACTTCATACTTTCATGTTAAAATCTCGTCGACTTAAAACGTTCAGTAAAATAGTAGTGGGTCCGAGAATGCTCGACACCCATATGGAATTATATATTGTCCACATATCAACTCAGTGACTTGAAGGACTCGCGCATGCTCGTTATGGCAGGGAGATCTCCGACAGTTGCCAGTCCCTCAGCTTCTGAGGTCTACTCAAGGTCGGTAGACGCAGTGTGGGAAGAGACAAGCCTCGGGTACGATAGAAACGCCACCTACAAACAACGATAATGACACATGCTGTGTGTCTCTAACTCACAGGAAGAGGCATCCAATTGCGACGATTGCCACCATCAGAATGATTGCGATGACAAGTCCGCCATTGCCGCCCGATTCACTGTCACTTGAAGTCGTCTCTCCCTGACACCAAGTATGCAAGTAATTGACCATCGCTGCTTACCGATCGTGTATCTTCTTCAGGTTGACCTTTTCCCTTTTGATCGTCGAACCCGGCTTTGTACTCGCCGGGGATTGAACCGTTACTAGCCTTTCCAACATCAGGTGTCGCAACAGCCTCCGTTGTCGTCGCAATAGTCGACGTAGAAGACGCCTCGAACGGCCGAGTCGTAGACGAAGGACATATGCATCTACCCGTGGGCAATGCACCAGTACTGGTCGAGGAAGTTGCAGTAGTTGAGTTATCTGCGAAGACAACCGCGCTAGGCAGAGTAGCCGCTGCGGTGCTCCTGGTAGAAGTAGAGCGCATCATGGTACTCGTACGAGCTGGGGTAGTAGTTGAAGACGTGCTAGACTGTGTGGTTTCAGTAGTAGAAGTGGTCGTGGTAGTTGAAGTAGTAGTGGTAGTGGTAGTTGTAGTAGTAGTGGTAGTAGTAGGATACTTCAATTCCACCCACTCGTCCCACGAAACTTGACGGGGCGTTATCATAATCGTCTCATTAGGACATGGCCTAAAAAACAACAGCAAGATATTATGATTCGTGCTGCAACGTAAACTGACCTCATCTTCAGAGTTGTATCGTGCGGAGACGTTCTATAAAAGCCCGGCATACACCAACAAGTTTGATAGCCCGCGAACCAGTTGTAGGTACACCAGGCGGGAGGGCTTTCCGTGGGATACACTACGAGGAGAATACTCTAGTAGTAACCCACACAATGCCTTACATCGAGCTCTGTGATAGATAGGGTTCTCCGCTGGGCAGTCAGATTCTAACGATGGACCATGAGGAGGAAGCAACACCGCCTTAGGGGCCTTTTCATAGCATCTGAACCAAAATGACTTCAACTCGCCCGAAGGCTACACTAGAAACGCTACAGCCAATCACGGTTCTTCCTTCCATGATCGTTTCCCTTATCGTTCGGGTCGAGAATACAATCTGGAAGGCTCGTCAGCGACTCTCAAGCGGAATCCATCTTACTGTATTTCGTAGGGGAGTCTTCGTACCCTCTATCATCTTGATGCTTCTCATGCAAACGTACACATAACCTGAAATGGATCAATCTTGGCATCTCAATTGGAATCTAAACCTTGCATGAGATGACCTAATGGAAGACGTTCTATACGTACTCTCTGATCTCCTTCTTCTGAGCCCCGTAAGCAACCGCGTCCTTCCACTTCCCGTTGCATTTAAGCTTGCCCTTCTCCATCTTGCCTCTGCCGTTAGTGTAAATCTCCCACTTGAAGTCTTTGACTTCGGATTGGATTTTCGAATGCCCTAGAGAGAAAGCTCAACAACACCTTATGGAATACACACAGAGCTTACATTTAGACGTATAGTCCTTCGGCAGAATAGTGCGGCCTAAAACCGACGGCGAAAGTAGCAGGAATACTGTTGCGACGATCGGGAAGACAGCCATTGTTGAGTAATACACGTAGTAGAGCGTCTGAAGAGATGCTCAGAGCATTACGCCCAGCATTTAGTAGTGAACACCATCTTCGTACTTGAATATGGCGAGTACTGCGCGACCGTTTCGCACGGTTGCTGATGAAACCGTGTCTCCACTTCTGTACTAAACCACTTTTGTACTAAACGATGATAGGTGAGCGATTTATACCGGATCAGGACTTTTTCGCACGCAAACGATTGAGTTTTGTAGTGGGTAAAATGTCCACTGTTGTACCAAATTCTGCACGTTTTTACTCACTTTATTTTTTCCGGTAAAGAAATTTTTGACACCGTGTAAAACTTTACTTCCACTTCTGTACTAAATTCTTGGGATGCTTTCGCACGGGTTAAATTTTACGACTTGGGTTTTTTCACACGTCTTAAAACGACCTGCCTTCCGCTACTGTGAGTGAAGCCCTCACCGCGAGGGGGAGTTAAGGACAGTCCTGCGTCTACCTAAGAGTATTCATGTCGCAATTTAACAAGTCTCAACGTATAACCTCATTCCTTGTAGTCTACAAGTGTAGACTCCTAAATTATGTCGTAATTATTACGGGCCGTTGTGCACTCCAGCGCAGTGTACGGAGACTCATGAACCATTATACGGCTTCGCGGTGTTTATATTTGGCTGTATTACTGTGTTATTACTGTTATTGTATTGTGCGCCGTGACAGCGGTGGCGTCACGTATTTCTGCATGCGTGCTGAGGCCTTGCTCGAGCACTTGCCTAGTGCTCTTAAAGGTTAGACTGAGGACAGAAGTGAGTTAAGCTTCTGATTCTTACTGGCCTGGGACTTAGGCTACAGCTTGAGTTAGTACACTGTGTTGAGGTTTACCAGCTGCTATTGGTTATACTTCGTACGTTAAGTAACGTAGTCAAAGGTATGGTTTCGGAAATCATCAATAGATTAGGCATTATGTTCACTACTAACTGTGGTTATGATACATAGCGGCAAGAGTTCTGATAAGGGTGCAGACATAGCTAGTTGGGTGATCAACGAACGCTTATCATCGTCGTCCGGTATTAAGGAATTATTTGAGGAATATTTGATTGACAACTACACTCTTAGGACTTTCATAAAAGCTTTAAACTCAGGTATTGAATTCCCCTTCAGGTGAGAATAACATGCTAGCTAGCGCGGGAAAGATTTCCCGAAACCTGCTAATTTCTTTCCTAGTAATGCATGCAGCCGAATGGTATCTCATACTAGCTTCATCGAACACCGAAAGACGAAACCGCTGGCGGTTAAAAACAACCACAGTAAGTCTAGCAATAACAAGAACTCCGCATA